GATCTTCTAAATGCTTTAGTTTCCTTTAGATATTACTGAAGCTGCACTTGAAATCCAGGCAATGATAATTTGTTCAGTGGCATTCTGAGGATTTCGACAAAACGTCATAAGGATAATTGATGTTTGCAATTGACTAAACCTTTGGGCAAAAAAGGATACAAGCGAAGGACCACTTTATCCAAATCAATCACTAGGTAAGGAAGACATTGCTTGTAATTCAAGTTAAGACAATATTTCTGATTGCAGTTAAGTCTACCAAGTGGCAAACTAAATCTATAGGATCTAAAGGCGCCATATAATTGCTGAAAGAACCAGGTTCAGATCCCAAGGAAGAACGACCACCCTAATGGTGGTCAAAAGTCTGGAAATTGCTCTAAACGACCTGGTAATTAGAGGAGCTGAAGCAAAGTCTTATCTGACACCTCAGACTAGCCGGGTGAAGAACCTTTGCAAAGCCCAGTTGCAGAAATACAAGAATTTGAGGAGTTGGGGTAGATAAGGGCTGAAAGCCTATAATGCTGCATAAACAAGAGATGTAGACTCCTTTTTAGCTGCCACCAGAATGTCAATGACTTCAGGTCATAATCCATGAGAGGTCTGTCAGTTCTAAGGAGTCAACAGATGCCTGAGAGGTACCCATCAACTAGCTGTGTTAATGCCCACCACAGGTGTACCAGTTGTTTGTCAATATTAGTGTGCTGTGAAGTTACTTTGTGTCAGTCATCTCAAATTCCACTCCTGCCAGGACATTGCTGAACTATAACTCCCATGACACTGTCCGTCTGTTAATTCAATGCATTGCAGTCTGTCTTGGGGGCAGACTAAGATCCGTGCCATGGCATAACATTCATACCCTCACTCTGCCAGGTTTACCTCCCCCACCCCCCTTCCCATTATAGGGGCAGTTCTTAAGAACTGGCTTTGGAAGTAAAAGCAGGACTATGGAAACAGTGTCAGGGTTTGGAGGAAGTGACAGCACAGGCCACGTTGTTACAGTTTACTGCACAGTGACGGGAAATCATTTAGGCCAAATTCCCAAGCATGAAAACAGGATGAGGATTTGGATAGGGAGGGCATTCTTTTTATTTAATGTTTGTGGAGGACATTTTCATTATTTACTTGTAAATACAGATGAAACATCACTGGACATCAAGGGGACAGAAGATTTTATTTAACAAAGAATACATGCATAACACTCACCAGGGTATTTCTCTAAAAAGCAGAGCGCAGTGAATTGAAAAGAAATTGATAAGTGGAGGTTGGAGGTTAGACGAGCCCAGCTAGGGCATAGGTGGTGACTTTTTCCAGATTAGCCATTTTGCGGTTTGGTGTTTAATAGATGAACCCAGCGTGCAGTCCAGATTTAAACACCCAATCATTGATATTCCACAGTCTTATCCCTAAGCTCCTATATAAAGACCTTAATGTATGTTAAAACATTTACCAATGTCAGACTCACTTTGAAACCTCACCACCTGCAACACTCAAATCGATAGAATAGCAATAAAATGAGATTTTATGGAAAAATGGAACAAGGCATTAAATATTGAAGCTCAGATTAAAATACAAAATCAGGCAGAATAATGTGTGAGAGTTTAACAGTGATTCAGACATTAAAAAAAAAGTTACACTATCTCGAAAACCTAACTGGGATTTAAAGTGCCCGTTTTTCAAACATTTTCTGGATTCATGCACAAGATGAATGAATTATAAAATGGTCATCACATTTGGCATGACAGGTGACATTTAAAGCAGCCCCCACTCCCCTCCCAGTTTCATTGAAATTTCATTGACATCCCAATCAAAGGTTAGGTGACAAAGCTGGGATTGCATGCTATGCATGCTTACACTTGACATTAGGGGGAGCTACAGCAATTACTAGGTTGTGGAGAACAAGGCTCTGTCTATATGAAGGCTCCCACAGTGCGCACAAGGTGACAGCCATTTTAGGCTTACAAATCTGCAGTTAAATATAAACTACAGATGGTTTATGGAGACACATGAATAAAGTTTAAAGGGACACTAGTCACCAGAACAACTACAGCTTAACGTATTTGCTCTGATGAGTATAATCATTGCCTTCAGGCATTTTCATGCAAACACTTGTTTTTTTACATTGCCCCCTAGGGACACCTCCAAGTGGCCACTACTCAGACAGCCACTAGAGGTGCTTCCCAAGTCAGTGCTGCACAATAGGCAGCAGTGCCGTTCAGCGTCTCCACATTCTGCATTGAGACGTTGACTTTTCCTCAAAGATGCATTGATTTTATGAGGAGGTGCAGATTGGCTAAAACGGCGTTTGGCCCTGGCCCCATCCTGCTTCCTTGCCGATTTCAGCCAACCCAATGCTTTCTCGTAAGGAAAGCATTGAATTGGCTAAAAATCTGCAATACTGATGTCACCAAGGAGGTGGAGCCAGCATCAGCAGACCCACGCTGCACTGGAAATAAGGCAAGTTTTCACCTTTTCTAAACACTATAGGGTAAGGAACACATGTTTTAATTCCAGAATTAAACATATTGCTCCAATTAAGGTTTTCTTTGGTACAATGTATACATGATGATGCTTCCCCCATGTTTTGATTACAGTTAAACAGACACTGTTCTGGCAGTAACAGCCTACTCTTATTAGACAGCTTGTACAGCACGCATCTTACTCTATTTAATAGAGTCATGGTCACCATGGAGGCCCACTGCTTGCAATATATAATCTGGAATCTGGCAGATCCACTATACATGCTGATGCAGCTATGTTCCCACGACAGAGGACAGAGTTTAAGAAGAAATCAATAAAAAGGTTTAGGGAGTTTATGGCTGAGATCCTTGACTTCCACCTCCTACACATTGACCAGAAATCATTCATTATAGTAACAGATGCTAATGGCTGCAGAGGAACGTTTTAAAATAAATTCATTGAGCCTCCGCTGATTTCCACCCTGACTCAGACAGGGTTATCTGTAAAACTGAGTTGTCTAGCATTGACAAGCAAATTAATTTAAAAATTAGTCTTAAAGGAGCTAATGTTAAAAAGAACAGAGTGTGCCTTTTAATGTTAAGAACCAAGCTTTTTAAGAGTCACACTGGCAGAGATCAGGGATAATTAGCTCTGCCAGTCTAATGCTACTCCGTGAAGAACAAGAGGCTACCGTGCATGCGCAGCAATCGCTGTGACAATCCCATCTCCACATACAGACATTAGGTCAATGCATCTTTATGATAAGAATTTGGTGCCTTCATGCCAACAGTGAAGACGCTAAACATCTATCCTGCAAAGATTATTGGATCACAGCAGGAAGCAGCGCCTCCAATGGTTTGCACAGTAACAGTCGCTAGAGGTTTCCTTACAGCGCAATGTAAACACTGCATTTTGACAGACAACTTGGTGATTACAGTGGAGGGACAGTCTCTTTGCATCAAAAGAATGCATTAAGCTGCAGTAAAACTACCCATGCAGACAGGCTAGCTAGTATGCTGCCAAACGTACCAAGACAATCAACTAAACTGGTGTAAAACCTTGGCTTTGCCAAGAATGTAAAAAGCAGAATGCATGCCATGAGACCACTACACAAATACCCACCCTAACATTTTAAACGAGTGGCCTGCAATACGCGTCCTGAATTTTATAAATTGTATTTTGATTTGCCTCTAATCTAGAACTGTGAACATTTTATGGAGTGCTAGAGGAATTCAAAGTATCGTTATTTTAAAGGCACCCTCTATGCCAAGTGACCTCACACATGGGCAAGAGGCTTGCAAACTACCATGATTCTAGAAGACATTTTAATGAAAAAACAGTCACATATCACACAAACAGTTTAGTACAATTGCATATTGAATCATCTCCTAAAAAACAAAATACCTTACCATTTAGAATAAAATCACAGCCACAGGCAAAGTTGGAGAAATCTGAAGGAACCTTGCAGCCTTTTAAATAGACATGCAGTCTATCTGGAGTTATGTTCTATAAAAATAAATTCATCCATTCAAACTAGTGTGAAAGTTTACAGAATAACCCTGAATCTACTCCCTTCCCAAAGATAGAAGTCATATCTCAGAAAAGAAAGAAAAACAAAAATAAATCCAAGAAAAAAAAAAAAAAAAACACACAAGACTAGCTTGTAGTGGAGACAAACATATTAAAAGACTAATTAAAGATGCACTCCCTTTACAGGAATGATATTTCACTGGCCATAGTTTATTATTGGAGTAAAAGGCTATATCTCATGGAGTGTGAACGGCTCTCGTTGCTCGGCCATGTTACAAAGTGTAGGCGTTGTTCATTAGAAGCTCCTTATCATCAATAGGGTTCCACATGGCTCTGAAGTCGGAAGCTCGTTGACTGTTCTTTGCCATCTTCACAAAGAATAGGACCATGGCACAGAGCAGGATGCCAGCCATGACTGCAAGCAGGATGGGCAATGCCAAGGCTGTGGGGAGAGAATGGAGGTTAATACTGATCGTAAGAAAACTACAGCAGGGGTGTCCAAATGGTAGATTGCCAGATATTGTTTTACTACAACTCCCATGATGCTTTGCATGGCTTCAGAATGACAAAGCACCATGCAAGCTGTAGTTTTAAAACATCTGGGTATCTGGCTTTTGGGCACCCCTGCTAGATCACCTGGCTGGAAAGCCCAGCACATCAGCTGCTCAAGTAGGCTATGCACAAAGAAAGCCACTAGATACCACCACGGAAATATATCTACAATAAAATTTGTTTTCTGCAAGTCTTTCCAAAGACAAATACAGCAAGGGCCAACTGTTGTGGTGGATTCTATCTGTAAAATCAGATTTTATTCCAATCCTGAAGTGCTTGTTTCATGCAAGTTTTAATCACGGTAATCTCAAAAGAAAGGTTATATCCTACTCTCAACCTTGTGTAAATCTAACCTAGCAGAGTTGAAATTCCATTCAATGATTTAATACTATGTATTATTGAGTTTTCATTTTCATACCCCTTAACGCTGGTTGGCAAAAAGTTGTGGAAAACATGCAAAGACTCCAAAATAGCTTGAAATAAAAAAAAATATATAAAAAATGTTTATACTGCTCAAATAAAATACATTTAAAAACAACCCAAACAACAAAATATGGCTATTAGAATTTTCCTGGCTTAAGTATTTGCCAATCTGAGAAACTGAGAATAATGCCCCCCTCTATGTGTGCTACCATTTATGGACATTCCTTCCCCACGGACAGATATGAAGTGAAATTCCCTCATGTACACTGAATGCCGTCTGCATGGTATCTATGGATAGGAACTAAAATGATTACCTAATCCAAGGTCATCCATATGACATGGTGACCAGTGATGCAGTGCCTGAGAGTTAACACCCAGCCCCATTATAAGCATTTATTTGGAGATTGGGGATAAATAGCCCTTACAGCAACCCCCTGATTAATGTGCTGTGCACCCCAGGTAAACCACTTTCAAAAGGACACTAATTCAGCGTCATGTGACTGCACATCAGATATCAAGAGTTCTGTTTGCCGGGATCTAGCAGGCAGAGAATAGTGAAGACTCGGTATAGAAGCGCGTGTAACACTTACTGGTTGCAGAGCGGTGATGGATGGGAATATTCTCCAGCTCATCTGCAATATAAATATTACACAGGTCAGCAGGAAGGAAAGTGGGCGAATATAATAACACACGACACTTCACTTGTAGAATGCACTTTATCATGTCAGTGAGTATTTTCAAAGATCCCCCATACCCCCCCAAAAAAACACAGCTTTATTTTATTGCTGCATATAATTTCTGCTATTGGATGGAGGGTACTCCGGCACATAGGGATATTCTGTATATTTTTTGGAAAATGGGCACTGCACGCTATTTGGGAGACAAGAAAACCTTACCAATGCATGTTTTGGCGCACTCTGCCTCGGACATGTAGTTGTTCTTATTTCCTTGACATCCCCCATATGTGAATTTGTTGCAAGCCCCAGTTTCTGCATTATAGTACCAACGCTGAAAGTAAGCCCGACAAGGACCGGTGTACTTGGGAGCAGCACAAAATTCTGAAATGGAGAATAGAAGACATTATCCATATCCAAACACATATTGCTGCTGTGTTTAAAAAAAAAAAAAGCTGTAATTTACACACATGAACATAGTAAAAAAACAGTTACTGAACTTCAATTGGTTCAGGATAAGCTACACCGAGAAAGGCCTGAATTAAAATCAGAGTTACAAACTTAGTAACTTAGTACAAAAAGCAAAAAACAAACTACAGTGAGGACAAACCCTGATAAGATCAACCTGGATTTGGCAAACAAGTCAAGTTTTGGAATACGCACCCTCAAAAGTTCTAGATTCCGGAGCCTTCACTTTTTCAGGTTCTGGCATTGCATCTAATGGGTGGAATAAGAAGAAATATAAAATGATGCAGACATTTATATAATCTGTATTAAAGAGGGAAAGCTAGTCACTGTAACCTTTCTAAAGTAAAGCTCATCATTTGAACATTTTACTACATTCTAGAAGAATGACTAAATGGGATACAGGTTCGATAAAACCTGATAGATAGCTGTGCTATATTAATGTATACTCCAGGAAGGGCCTTAAAAACGCTGGATGAAATTTACACATTGGAAAAAAGGAGACGTACCAAACGCTCATGGCATCATTTTACTATCCATCCTTGTAAAAGATGGAACGAGACGGATTTTTACCACGATTGCAGGTTAACATATACAGAGGGACGTTATTTTTAGCAAAATAGCCGAGCTGGAAAAATAGAGTTGGGGAATTTCTTCAAGCTGGCAATTTTGGTGTCCATTTTCCCTGGTCAATTCTGGATTCAGTAAATAATCTCCAGTTTTTGTAATATTACGGTTATACCATGCCTTATGTAAAAAGTGCAATGTTTATGGCCAGACCAGGTGAACAGACCAAGAATGTGATCATAAAGCAATAAAAGAAATGCTTTAAGGGTGTTTTTGCAGACCAGGTAAGTATCTTTGCTCTGCGATGGATTAGAAAACCATGCAAAATGGGTTGTTTTCAGCAGCTTGCATCAAGCATTCTTTAAAAGCTCTCTCTGCAGAGCCTGCATATCACGAGATCCATGCAGCCAATGATCGCCACAATTCCGAGCCCAGTGTTATCTACCGCAGGGAGATTCCTGGTTTAGGAAGCAATGTACTACCATCACGCATTGTTAAAATGTTTATTGTATGGCAATGCTCAGAATTTCAACTAGCCACATGGACATTCCACGTTCGCAGTGGCCGGAAACTCAAGTCCAGGCTAGTAGTGTTTAAGCCCTGCTAAATAGTAATAAAAAAAGGATATTTATTCTACATTGTTGTGTGTGCGCACATTGATTTTTTTAAGAACAATTTTATAGGATGATCGATATTTTAAAGCTTTGCCTGGAGTTGTGGTGGGGGCATATTGACATGTATAAAGGACCCCCCCTGGCCTACCTCACTGTCATTGGTCTTGCGATCTACATGCCCCCTTCCTCCACACCCTTTATTCACGATACTCTACTTGAGGGGGCCCACTTTATTTATTTATTTATTGGCCAACCGCATAGGTCTGTTCCAGCACACTTCAACCGACCTTGCCCTATAACAAGTTACGTCACTACACGAATTTGCATCAACATATCAATGGTTGCACCAAACACACACCTTTTATAAATACATACCATTCTGGGACTGTGCTTCGACCATGCGTTTGCTAGTAGGTAGGACATCAGTGGATGGGTTCACAGCTAAAAACAAAATATTTAACAGGTTTTACTGTGAAATCAAGGAGTCTTGGACATTAGTTTCTGCAAAATAAAACTCAAACAAAAAAAAAATAGCGGTGAAAAGCGGGGTGCCCTCTGCCCAGCTGCAGGGTAATTGCCCTTTCACAGGCAGAAGAGTGGGGGAGATAAAACCAGCAAGCATGCATTACACAGCCAATCACTTCCTAGAGGTTTACACAAAAATACCATGGAATTAGGTTATACCACGAGCGTGACCATGTAGGGGTGAAACAAGAGAATAGAGAAAGTGAGAAGCAAGTACGTGGAAAGATAATGGAAGACGTGGCAGGAGTGTTAGGATAATTACCATATAATTCCATTATCTGTGAATCTCAAGCTTAGTAATTTTCTAAATACACCAAATAAAAATAACCACCTTGACCAGATTGTTTGGGAGAAGTCGGACTATTACAATGTTCCGTGTTTAAGAAGATATGGCAATCATGCCAGTTAGTAAGTGACTGAACCAGAGCTAGCTAAAAAGGAACCATTCATAAATATAGAGTGGCCAAAACCCATGGGGGTTTAATTAACTGCCTGGAAGGATTCAGCAGGGAAGCTGCCAATCCAAGTATAGTCACAACCTATCATTACAGATTCCACCCACCATACCAACATACCAGTCACTCCGCTGCATTTATCCATGCATTGCTGCTCATCCAAGTGATTGTTCAGATTTCCTTGGCAGCCGCCATAAGTGAAGTTTTTGCATGTCTGGCTGTCCACATCGTACCACCATCTCAGGAAAAATGCTCGGCAGCGGCCAGTTTCCGCTTGTGACAGGCAGAAGTCTAGTAAAGAAAACATAGAAAGTTATTCCTTTATTAGGATTAGAAGTATTATTTTAATTTCTTTAGAAAGCTGCAACATTCTCTGCCGGGCCACACAATTGGTGAATAAATAAATCACGACAATCTGCATGTGTAGTGATTGCAAAACCCATTCCAGTGCTTGCTCTAGGGCCATGTAACCCATTATAAGACCCAAGTAGATGTTTAACCCCTTAAGGACACATGACATGTCATGATTCCATTTTATTCCAGAAGCTTGGTCCTTAAGGGGATATATAGAGATATAGATATATATATTCTATGATGGATATCTAGTGGGGACAACAAAACCAATTTACAGAAGGTGACATTTGGAAGACTGATCTACAAACTAACTAAATTCATAATGTGGAGCAAACAGGACCAAAAGTGGCCGTTAATTTGAGCCTGTGCCCTCTATCATAGGCAGATCACAGCTGGAATGTTACACAGGATGGGATGAGATGAGCACAGTGAGGTTCAAAGCGGATGGACTGGAGGCCTTACTGATTTAGTAGGAGAGTGTGGAATGTACAGAAAGTCTGATGGGGTAATGCAACGATTACACATAAGAATTAGTACGTTAAATTAAATCCATGAACCTATTAAACATTGCCACAGACTGGCCCTTTAAAAAAAAAAAAAAAAAAAAGATACTACAGCTGCTTCATCTCATTGGTTACAGTGTCTGGAGTCCCCAGGTACCATCCTTCCATTCACTGTTAAACCATTGTTTTAGAGCAGGCATAGGCAACCTTTGGCACTCCAGATGTTTTGGACTACACCTCCCACAATGCTTTGCCAGCATTATGGGGGTTGTAGTCTGCAACATCCTGAGTGCCGAAGGTTACCTATCCCTGAACTAGAGTCTCCAGCAATCCATTCACTCTGTGCTGCTTGGATTAATGAGGAAGCATTAGCCTAACAGCAATGGATGGCTGTGAGAGTGTTAGTGGACCGCATTCAGCCTATCACATTGCTGGTATGAATTGGTATGGCTAGAAGGAAGAGTTTAATCTCTTGCTTTAGCCACACCTATAAGTGGGGGACAGGTTGTTGGTGGCCAGGGACCCCAACTCCATGTTAAACAGCTCAAAAATGACTTAACACTGAACGGAGAGACAGTGACAGGATACACCAGGCACGATTACAAATTTAACGAGATGAAATTGTTAGTGCCCAACAGTGTCCCTTTAATGGCAGACAGGAAATGTGGCCAGTGTAAAGAATCAAGTGGATGCAGAAGTCATGAGTGCTTTTGCAAATACTGTATAAAAGAAATAACTCTACGAAAGCTGTACTATAAACACCGTCACAACAGTGGAACACATAGAAACATAGAATGTGACGGCAGATAAGAACCATTCGGCCCATCTAGTCTGCCCAATTTTCTAAATACTTTCATTAGTCCCTGGCCTTATCTTATAGTTAGGATAGCCTTATTCCTATCCCACGCATGCTTAAACTCCTTTACTGTGTTAATCTCTACCACTTCAGCTGGAAGGCTATTCCATGCATCCACTACCCTCTCAGTAAAGTAATACTTACAGTAATAAACAGACAGAGACAGAGACCCACACTTTATTTACCGACGCTGCTACGCACCACGACAGATGGTATCACTGCTATTTTAATAGACATTGAGCGCTGCCAATCTACTTTCTTCGACTTCTAACAGTAGCAATCACAAAACAAGCTGAAAATCCTATGATAAAGTTCATGTGATAAAGATTCCCAAGGATTCTTATAAGGAGGTGACACCTAGACACCACTATAAAGGCCTGACCTTCAAGCCAGTACCAGCCCTCATTATCAAAGCATGCCAATTAAAAACGAGAAAGACCACAAAAGTAAAATGGCTGCCAGATATCCCAGCATACACAGTAAGCCTTGCCAAGACAAGCACCATCCAAGTAAACACGGAAAGAAAGGACTGTATGTACGGCACTAAGGGGTTATTGCCCCCTCCCCCAAAGGGGAGACAATGTCCACCAACATCACAATGGAATGTATCCAGTAAAACTGCCTAGCTGTATAGGATACTGCCAAGTCAGCCATTTTAGACATTCTTTTTGCAATTTCCTGGTCAAATCACTATGGCTAGGGGTTAATAACAGACATGGATGTAGATCAATATTAATACATACATTGTTGACAATTAATGAAGATAAAGGCTGCATTGACCATATATCAAACCATCCACAAGAAAGCAGCGCTCTTTCCAATAATAATATATAAACCTATGATGACTAAACACAATGATCCCTGACAGACTCTGGCCAAAACCAACTGCCAGAAGCAAAGACATTGTGAAACTGCTTAGCAGTGACTAGGGAATGTCTGACATTTATTGCGCAGAGCACATTACAAAAGGACTGTTTGTAAAGTGCACCGCAAATAATATACAGTGTCTAAAAAGGCTTATTAGACATCTTGCAAAATATCCCCAGTATCTTTGTGGATTACAGATAAAATAAAAACAGTGTCACAATACTCTGGAATGCATAAGAAATCAATAAATAAATAAAGCTTTAAAGACAACTGTCAGTTTAAAGGTGGTTTAGGATCGTGTCCCAGCAGGAGACCAGCATACAAGGGAAGGGCACACCATTAACACTGAAATGACGACAATTTACCAATATACAAATACAAAGCTTTAGAACACACCAGATTACAATCTTATACCCCAGAATCAGCCTTCTCACACGGGGCCATCTGCTGCCTTGTCACAATCTATTAAAAGAGACAAACCAAGGTGAATTTACCACCTTTATATTCTCTCCCAGAGGGGAACGGAAACGTTGACATATTGTTTAATATTCGGTCTACCTCTAAATAAAGCTAGATTTAATCTACAAAAACCATAAGGGTGCGCATATATACATACACACAAACAAAATTATATATAAATATACCTTAACAACAACCACCACACACAAACACACACACACACACACACACACCTTTTTGCAACTTTCTATACAGAGGCTGATAGCAAACATAAAAACAGATTCTCCATTTTTATTCCAGGGATATGATTTGCATAGCCCTGGCCTAAAAAAGCAAGCATGCTCACTAGATTGTAATGGAAGCCAATGGCAAGGCCACATTAAACGGTGAATTAACAGTTAGCAGCTACCATCGTGTGGAATGAGAGTGCAGAGGCTGTGACTGCGCCTGCATGGGGTATCTGGGAAATGTATGCCAGCCCCTTTATAGCGGGAGACATTTGCTGGATTAATCACTACATAACTAGATTTAGCAAATTGAACCTGAACGGCAAAACGGAGGCCAAAATGTTCAAGCTGTAACAAATCACCTAACATTTATTTTGCCATCGAATTTAATTTGCTGGCATTCAGGTTTTACCGAATAGTATCGCTATGGTGCATTGTGGGGTTTCTTCCCTTCCATTTTATTAATGGAAACAAAAGGATTTAAACACAGATGCATTAATGCGGAATCCTAGGAAGGGACATGGCAGGACTCATCACAAACCCCTAAACATTATCCACATCGTACAATATGTAATATATATTCACAAATCATAAAGCAGAAGCTACATTGCTCACACTAGCAGTGCCACACTAACCCCTGATTAAGCCAGGCAAAAGAACTGATCTCTGTAATCTAACCTATGATTAATTGCCATCTTTGCAAAGTGATCTGTATAAGAATGAATGGTTTAAAAAAAATAAATAAAATAGAATTGATTATGGCTGTAGATATTCTAGATCACATGGGTCTCAATGCATTACCCCTAAATATGGTGCCTTCTTGTATGCACCATATTCATGTCACTCACACCTATAAGGGATGAGATTTATAGGGAGAGAAAGTAAAGGCTTGGCTGGGTCTAAGCTATATAGCTGCCACACTATGTTCACCCCTATGCCAGCTGATATTGTCTGGGTAGACCATCCTGCAGATTTATTGCCACTACTCTTGACATAGGTAGGGCTGCCATGCGATTTCTGGTTATTACTACAGGAGCACCAGGGAGACATTTACTTTATCCACGGAAGTACAATAAGGTGGAGAAAAACATCCTGCTATAGTCCCCTCCTCTATAGGATTAAAGGGACACTGGAGGCTATAAGCATTTTCTCTCATTGAATTGGTTATTCCCATGCTAGACTACAAGACTTCTCCCATGCTGCACCAATCCTCTGGAAACCACGTCCCCACACTGTCTGCCTTCCATTATGCGCTCCCTAAAGACTGTCTTGTTCAGAGAATCCAATCACTCAAACACATTCCTCTTACCCAATAAATGCCCTCAACTCACCAACAATATTCTCATCTTTGCAGTCCAGTTTCTCACTCGTCCAATTCATCTAGATCAGGGGTTCCCAACCCAGTCCCCAAGAACACCCTAACAATCCAGGATTTAGGGATTACCCTGTTGTATCTAAAGTTTTTTTATTTCTAAAAACACCTTAGGCACAACAGTGTAATCCCTAAATCCTGGACTGTTAGGTGGTACTTGATAACCCCTGATCTAGATTGTAAAGTCACAGGAATTGCGTCAAATGTATTTTTACGTGTACCAAGCGCACAGCATTGCTGAATCTGTTGGCACCTGGTGTCCCCCAGCACGGTCTCTCCCATTGAGTGATTGCACACTTCCTTCCAGCCATAACAATTCATACCAGCAATGGCTGCTTTAATAGGCTGAAAGCAGTCACGTTTCACTCTCAGCCAATCACAGCCACCCATTGCCATTTAGCCTAATGCCTCCTTATTAGCCCACTAGCGCAGAGAGAATTGGCTGCGGAGGCCTCTTGTTTAACATTAAAAAACACAATTTACCTCTGAACACTGTACACACTATAACCACTTCAATTAAATAGTTACAGTGCCCAAAGTGGTTTTTAACCCATGAACTTTATTTCATTAAACCAAATCATCTCCTTAACAGTCACAAAATAACCCAACCTGGTTTTGTAAAAGAAAGCAGCAACATGATTTCCTGATAAAAATAAAAGTGCAGTTCAACTGGTGAGAGAGAAACCCGAGAATGTCACTTGGGAGGAAGATGGCTCCTCTGATCACAATAAAACCAGTCGAACCAGTTTAGGCTCATTTTCTCACAGCTGTAGAATGGCTGACATCACAGATCACCAAAGGGATAATAATATAGAGAAACAAAAAGAGCAAAATAGATAGCGCCATGTGAAGGGATGCACAGCAAACACAGAAGGACAGAATTTTGAAGCTGTTGGGTCACAGTTGTGATTTACATAGAACCCACAAAGTGCCAAAAAGGAGAATTGTTTTTTTTTTTTAAATGAAAACATATAGAGAAGTAAATACTGGCACACAATACTATTTTGTTCGGAGTCACGTTCAATGAAGACATATGTGCACACCCTGAATTTATGGTTTTACAACAACAGATTGGACAAAAAAGTACTGCTATCCATTCCCACAGCCACACCTTGCAAGACTGTACTAGTTAAGAAATGTTACAGATTAGTTGATGGTCTTGGTACATTTGGCAGGGTACTAGCTAGCCTTTTTGATTAGGTAGTTAGCCTCTCCAGTGATCCTTACAGGCATGTTTGGGTCGCTAGTAACTTGTAGCTAATGTATTCTCTGGGCAGGGAGTTAGTTGCTCAAGTGATTAGTTTAGGTGGCTAGATACTTATCTGGATGGATAGTTACTGGTAAGTTACCTGCCTGGTTACATGGTGGCTAGTAATCTGTCGGGGGCATCAGTTCCCTGTATAGGGTGTTCATAATCTCCCTGAATGGCTAGTTTCCCCTCTCTGGCTGAGCTAGTTCCCTGTATAGGTGGCTAGTTACCTCTCTGTCCGGGCTAGGCTCCCACACTGGGTCTCAGGTGGGTGGCTAGCTCCCTGTCTGGGCGGGCTTGGCTCCCTGTCTGGGCGGGCTTGGCTCCCACACCGGGTCTCAGGTAGCTCCTGGCTCCCTCCCTGGGTGGCTAGCTCCCTGTCTATGTGGCTAGTTCCCTCCCTGGGTGGCTAGCTCGCTGTCTATGTGGCTAGTTACCTCTCTGGGCGGGCTTGGCTCCCACACCAGGTCTCAGGTAGCTCCTGGCTCTCTCTCTATGTGGCTAGCTCCCTCCCTGGGTGGCTAGCTCGCTGTCTATGTGGCTAGCTCCCTCCCTGGGTGGCTAGCTCCCTCCCTGGGTGGCTAGCTCGCTGTCTATGTGGCTAGTTACCTCCCTGGGTGGCTAGCTCCCTCCCTGGGTGGCTAGTTACCTCTCTGTCCGGGCTTGGCTCCCACACCGGGTCTCAGGTAGCTCCTGGCTCCCTCCCTGGGTGGCTAGCTCCCTGTCTATGTGGCTAGCTCGCTGTCTATGTGGCTAGTTACCTCTCTGGGCGGGCTTGGCTCCCACACCAGGTCTCAGGTAGCTCCTGGCTCTCTCTCTATGTGGCTAGCTCCCTCCCTGGGTGGCTAGCTCCCTCCCTGGGTGGCTAGCTCCCTCCCTGGGTGGCTAGCTCGCTGTCTATGTGGCTAGTTCCCTCCCTGGGTGGCTAGCTCGCTGTCTATGTGGCTAGCTCCCTCCCTGGGTGGCTAGTTACCTCCCTGTCCGGGCTTGGCTCCCACACCGGGTCTCAGGTAGCTCCTGGCTCCCTCCCTGGGTGGCTAGCTCCCTGTATAAGTGGCTAGTTACCTCCCTGGGTGGCTAGCTCCCTCCCTGGGTGGCTAGCTCCCTCCCTGGGTGGCTAGCTCCCTCCCTGGGTGGCTAGCTCCCTCCCTGGGTGGCTAGCTCCCTCCCTGGGTGGCTAGCTCCCTGTATAAGTGGCTAGTTACCTCTCTGTCCGGGCTTGGCTCCTCTCAGGTAGCTCCTGGCTCCCTCCCTGGGTGGCTAGCTCCCTCCCTGGGTGGCTAGCTCGGGTGGCTAGCTCCCTCCCTGGGTGGCTAGTGTGGCTAGTTACTCTCCCTGGTGGCTAGCTCCCTGTCTAGTGGCTAGCTCCTCTGGGTGGCTAGCTCCTGTCTATGTGGCTAGTTACCTCCCTGGGTGGCTAGTTACCTCTCTGTCCGGGCTTGGCTCCCACACCGGGTCTCAGGTAGCTCCTGGCTCCCTCCCTGGGTGGCTAGCTCCCTGTATAAGTGGCTAGTTCCCTCCCTGGGTGGCTAGCTCGCTGTCTATGTGGCTAGTTACCTCCCTGGGTGGCTAGTTACCTCTCTGTCCGGGCTTGGCTCCCACACCGGGTCTCAGGTAGCTCCTGGCTCCCTCCCTGGGTGGCTAGCTCCCTGTATAAGTGGCTAGCTCCCTCCCTGGGTGGCTAGCTCGCTGTCTATGTGGCTAGTTACCTCTCTGTCCGGGCTTGCCTCCCACACCGGGTCTCAGGTAGCTCCTGGCTCCCTCCAGCTCCCGCAGGTCACACATGTTGAAGCCGTTGAAGGTGCAGCTGACGAGGCGGCAGTCGCTGTGGGGGCCGCGGAGCAGGGCCAGGTCACAGTCCGGGTTGGAGCAGCATTTCTCCAGACATTCCTCGTCCAGGTCCACCGCCGGGGAATCCAGCACCTTCACCCCGAGAGTGTCCGTGTCCGCCAGCCCGAGCCCGGCCAGCACGCTGAACCCCCCGCAGTCAGCCTGGGCCGCCGCAGCCAGCGACCCCCACAACAACAACAACACGGCGCGGAACCCGGCTGCCATGACAACCACGGCGGAACCGCGGGGACTGCACGTCACTGGGATACGTCACTGGGATACGGCTCGCGGATTGGCTGGCTGGCTGGCTGCTGCTGCTTGTCCTGCCGCGCGCTTAGTGTCTCGTGCTCCGTCTCAGCGCTCCCTCAGCCTTCTAACCCCAGCACGTACTGAGCGAGCCAGCTACCTTCCCTCCGGCCACGCCCAGCGTGACGTCACCACAGGTACCCCACGGCGGCGGCCACGCCCCATTCCTGCAGGTGAGCGCGGCGGGGCGGGGCCAGCAGGTGTCATGGCGGCTTCCTGTTTACCTCAGCTGTGTTACTGCCTCCTGCAGAGCTGGTTTCGGCCAGTGTGAGGGAGGGAGGGGCTGGAGGAGACACACAGACTGAGAGAGTTTCTGTGTCAGCTCCATTCCCCATTCCTAATGTGTCACACAGCCAGCTCCACTCACTGTTATCATTATTATAACACCACCCCAAAACATGACACAGGCAGGGTTACTATTATTATTATTATTATTTATATGGCGCCAGCAAAGTCCATAGCGCTGTACAATGGGAACTAATTACATCCCCATCACCCCAAAACATCAACAACACCCCAAAACATCACCCAATCACCTCAAAACATGCCACAGGACAGAGGGGACATCACCCCATCACCTCAAAACATCACCCCAAACCATCACCTCAAAACATCACCCCAAAACATCACCTCAAACCATCACCTCAAAACATCACCTCAAACCATCACCTCAAACCATCACCTCAAAACATCACCCCAAAACATCACCTCAAAACATCACCCCAAAACATCACCCCAAAACATCACCTCAAACCATCACCTCAAAACATCACCTCAAACCATCACCCCAAAACATCACCTCAAACCATCACCTCAAACCATCACCTCAAACCATCACCCCAAAACATCACCCCAAAACATCACCTCAAACCATCACCTCAAAACATCACCTCAAACCATCACCTCAAACCATCACCCCAAAACATCACCTCAAACCATCACCTCAAAACATCACCCCAAAACATCACCCCAAAACATCACCTCAAACCATCACCTCAAACATCACCCCAAACCATCACCCCAAAACATCACCTCAAACCATCACCTCAAAATATCACCTCAAACCATCACCCCAAAACCATCACCTCAAACCATCACCTCAAACATCACCCCAAAACATCACCTCAAACCATCACCCCAAAACATCACCTCAAAATATCACCCAATCACCTCAAACCATCACCCCAAAACATCACCTCAAACCATCACCCCAAAACATCACCTCAAACCATCACCTCAAAACATCACCTCAAACCATCACCCCAAAACATCACCTCAAAATATCACCCAATCACCTCAAAACATCACCCCAAAACATCAACTCAAACCATCACCCCATCACCTCAAACATCACCCCAAACCATCACCCCAAAACATCACCTCAAAACATGCCACAGGACAGAGGGGACATCACCCCAAAACATGCCACAGGACAGAGGGGACATCATCAAGTTAAAGTTTCTGCTCTCAAACCCCCAGTCTTCTGGAACCAGTTTGCAAAGAATTTAGAGCCTTTCCGACATGTCTGATAAATTCTTACAGAATCATACTAATTGTAAACTTTCTCCGAATTGTGGAGTTTTGGGCTGCCTACATTTCAATTGAATAGAACTGCATTGAAATAGCACTGCATTCACCATTTAACCATTGCAAATGGACAATTAAGACCTCCACCCGAATAGGCAAGAAGAGCTGATATAATAAAAAAAGAAGGAAATATAATGCCACTAGGAATGCTATGGAGTAATAATAACAAGAGAGATCAATGAGAATTAATATAAAATATAAAACAATTGCCCACGAAATAGCAAAGAGTGTAAGTGTGATGAGACACGTAGACTCTGGAATTCAGCCTATGCCCTTCGGAGTGTGTGTTCTTGCATGGAGAGTAACCCAAGTTCTGTAAATTTGTTCCCCACCAGCCCGAGGCTGGTGCTCAGTCCAGCTCTTTAACCTCACGGGTCCCATCAAGGACTGTGATCAGGACTGGAGCTCGGGATCCTCTTTCTTGCTGTTGATTCACACAGTAGGTGCCTGCCATCTGAGCATGTGAGCTGTGCCTAGAGGTGTATCTCCATTTGGACCGAGGTCTAGGAAGGTAACGACCAACCACAAAACCAGGCTTTTGACTTGTAGATGTCCTTCAGATCACCTTCCTCCGGTTCTGTGCCATCGATGCAGCATCAGGGCCTCTCGGGACAGGTCGCAGTGTGTCTGTATTTATTGGAGGACCAGGTTGAGCCCCAGGCCCCTCCATAGGCCTCTCTGTCTGTTGGCAGAATATACTCCTGAGTAGCCTGAAGGCTGGGGCAATGCGGTCCACACTTAAGGCCCAGGCTTTGGAAGATTGCTGAGCTGTAGATCTCCCCTCGGCAAACAAATGTCACACTTGGCAGAGAGTCAGCTTCACAGCCCTGCTGGGTCTTTTGGCTGTTCTCAGGGCAGTTCACCAGTGGGGACTCGGATATCCCCCACTGGTCTGTGGGGGGATAACGAGTCTGTGTAGAGGCCTCAGTGAATTGCGCTCACTGGTTTAGGAGATCGACGCTTTCCGAGTCCCTAGGTACAGTAAATGGCATAGCCAGAATAAGGCAGGAGCTAGGCAGATCGGACGGCAACCAACATAATTCAGGCAGATATCAGCACAGGCAGTGACAGGGTTTGTCAGCAGCTAGGACCAGAGGGTTTCTGCGTTATCCTTCTACGATTTTGCCCTAATTTGAGAATTGAAAAGCCAGAGCTATGAAAAGACACTTCCGCCCTGCCACCTAAGATTCTCTTTCTTTTCCAAGTCTTAGAATTTGTTTTTTTCAATTTACTACAACTCAGGGGTTAATTCTGCAGGTTTAGGGAATTGAATTGTCTTAGTGAAGAGCCTCAAGAGAGTGGTCGTCGAGTTTTGCTTTTGGGTGCAGCACCAAGTGTTTAGGGAACCAGCAACGGCTTTCGACTGGGTTTACATTGGAGGGAATGATTACTGATCACAATATATCCTGTGTCCTCTGGGTTTTGGGTTCTCATCACTGCACCCTGTTATGTGATGTTACATTATTTAGTAAATATTGCAAACACGATGTGCTACTCTTAACGAAAACAGCTGTAGTTTTATACTGACAGGCTGATCGCTCTAAAATGATTCCAACATTTCTATATTGGCGTTTCCACGAATCAAACAAACAATTCATACATGAAATGCAAAAATAGCAAACAGCATTGTCTCTGAAATGCAAGTATCTGGTTCCAAGTATATGGAGCTAACACTTTTTGTAAACTCCTTTGTTTTTTGTACATATAGCTGCGTGTCATATAGCTGTAAGAATCGGAGGATGTACCCGTGTTATAACGTGGACGGATTGTCCCTGTCTGCATAGAAAGAGGGATTAGGGATTTGTATAACCTGTGATGAAATAACAGCAGGGTGAGGCTCTGTAAAGGAAATGGGTCTTACAGGGAAAGTATTCCTGAAACAAGCACCTAAAATTGCTTTGGGCAGCTTGCATGTTGGCGTACAACTACAACTCATATTGTCCTCAGTCAGCCAAGTACCACTCCCATTGTTCCAAGCCAGTGATATATTCTCTGGCTCTGTATTCCTCCATAGAGGATCTCAGTCATGTTCACTGGGTTTAGCTGCTGTGCACACCAACTCCCATCACCCTATGTCACCCACTGTAATGATGGAGTGGGTGACATAGAGTGATGGGAGTTGGCGTGCACAGCAGCTAGGATATTAGACAATACTTTATCTGTATTGCAGAAGGCCTCACAGAGGTTTTATGTTGTATATTATTTTCTTCACAACTTCCTTGTTTTATGAGGAAGTCTGGTAACTTTAATTTTGTCACTTCTTTAACTGAAGTAACTCTGGTATTTAGTCATGTGCTGGGTTTTGTGGCATTACTTCGTGGCTGGTACACGTCGTGGGACACACAGTAGACTAAGTTTATATACAATACAATAACAATAAAAGATGCAATTAACCACTTAGGAACTATTTTTGCCTCAATCGTCCTCAATTTTGATTTGGAGTGCTTCATTTTTAAAAACATCAGTTCACATAAGTGCGTGTTTCCAAAGAGAAAGAAGATTCTTACTTCTGGGTCTGTCATGGGTCATGCATATTTGTCTTTTCCCTTCTGCCCCCATCTCTCTCACTTCTAAATATATATTTTTTCTCTCACTTTTTTAATAATTTGATTTTGGCTCTGTATTTCTATCCAGACGGGCGCCATGTGACACTTCGTCTCTGCCTTCGTTTTCCCGTACTCCGATGCTACAGAAACAGCACTCGCAACTCATGCCAAGGAACCCAGAGGCAAAGGCTACTGTACGGGGCCTGTGTAACACTTGTTGAAGGACAGGGGATGGTGATTATAGACGAAGGACATAGAGGTGAGTATTTCGGGAAAATGGGACTTGATAAATGAAGTGCAGCTTTGTTGATCGGAGAGGGATTACATAAAACAAAGTATTGCCTACTTTGTCTTATGTATTTTATGAGAAAGA